AAAAAAAATGTGGTTTGAATAATATTAATGATAATGATTAATTTTAGAATAATCATCAAAGTGTTAATAATAATCTTATTCTTCAAATTCTTTTTGAGCTAGAATAATCAAAAAAATAAATTCAATAATATTTTATTCAAGAAGAATAATAAATAATCTGAATAAATTTCATTAATTGATTATTTGAAAACAGAATAAGTTCAATAATAAAAACCTAAATATTCAATAAGTAAAAAAATTTAGATATTTAGATAGATTTAATTAAAAATAAATAATTATTTAGTTCTAAAATAAAGAATAATTAAATAGATAAAATCAATTAAATAATTTAATTTTTTAATAATGAAAAATATATTAATTAAATAAAATAAAAAAAAATCCTAATCTAAAAAAAAATTTATTCTAAAAATTTTGATTTTTTCTAATTACATACTAAAAACAGATTTATCAAATCAATAATAAAATTATTTATTAACGATGCCTTAATCAACTGTTTTGATAAATAATTAATATTAAATTGTCATGAATTAAATATCAGGTTTATCTAATTTGAAAATTTTTTCAGCATAAATATCCGAAGCATTTCTAGGTAGTTTTTTTATAAAAATAGAGTAAAAATCCAACAAATAGGTTTTTTTGAAAAGATTTATTATTGCTTTTGAGAAAGAAAATAATAAATAAATTGTAAAAGATATTAGTTAGTATATTGATAAATAAGTTAAGACTTTTTCCTTAAGACTCAATTAATTAATATAGATAGATATTTTGTATGAAAATAAATATGCTTCCATTAATTATTATTCATTCATTTATTCACTTAATTTAGAAATTTTAGCCTGAAATTTTGTTCAACGAATGTAATCAAAAAAAATAAAGAGCCGAAAGAAACTAATCAAAGTATGCTAATGTTTAGCTAATAAATTTCTACTAACTCTATGATATATAGGCTATGCTATGAACCATAATATATACAGAAGGTTGAAGCAAATAATAATTAGCTCAAAAAGGTATTAATAACAATCTTTTAATTTCATTGAGGAATCAGTATTTTTTAGAATTAGATACTCAATTTTTTATTTCTATTAATATTTTAATTGAATTATCCAATTTAAATAATTAAAATAATTTAATTTTTATTTATTTTTTTACATTTATTAATAAAATAAAACAATTTTATTTTATTATCATATATGAATGATTCTTTCTTTTTAAGATAAAAATAATTATTACTTATTTATTTTAAAATAAAGTAAGTTTTAATTAGTTATTCAATATATTACTTTATTACATAAAAAATTGATATTATTTTAATTAATTTATATTTGAATATTTAACAATATAATTTGAGAGATGCTATTATATTTGAAAACTAATTAAAACTTCATCTTGATAAGGCTTTTTTTTATCAACATAATTTATCAAATTTCTTTGAATTAATCTCAAAAAATAGTAATACTCAAAATATCTTTTGCATATATAATTTCCACATCAAAACAAAAACAACTGTTTTTAGTATAAAAAAGCAAACTTCGCCGAATACTCTTAAAAAGTTAATAACGTAGCCAA